GGTTATCCCATAGTAGGTGATTGTCTTCGGCACAAATGCTCATTGACACTTTTGGTGTGACCCTTGAAAAGTCATGTCTTGAACACCTAACTCCATGTTTTGCACTTAACAGTTTCTGAGGTAATTAGAAAGGAAGCACCAGCTGCAAGCGGCTCACAAACCCATCGACTACTTCACGCACTCAGCTACTGCCCCCTAAGGATAGCATTGGCTATTTGGTCAAGAAAGAAGTCTTCTACGAGATCCCGTGCGAGTCATGTGATGACCGGAAAATCGGCCTCGATACGCATTCACGAAAATTACTTAGCAGTCAAAGGGCGAAACAACTTACTTCAATTAGTCATGCGCACCCTGGACACCGGACACACCTTCGTTTTGGAGGAAACTCGAATTGTCGAGGTTTGCCCTTCAAAGGAAGGCCGAGGGTTCCTCGAGGCCGTACTCTCAGTCGAATCATGCACCGACCGGCACATCGAGTTTGGTGACGCGTACAAAAGCCTCAGGCAGGAGTGGATAGGATGAAAGCCAATCGGAATAGGATGAGACCAACGGCGACCGCCTTCTGGCGCAAACGCCAAACTAGTATCGATTTCTAAGTGCAGTTAAGGTGTTAACTGCTTCGGGGCACATTGGCACTCCGTCTGGGTCTGACGACTTGGGGAAGCCGCGTCGAAGTTGTACACAGTAAAGTTTGGCAGTAGAAGCGAGTAGGCGAGCTGCAGGAAGTAGTCCAGAAGACAGAGATGCGATCGCTGCGACAAGAAATATATTGGCCGGGCGTTTCGAATTCTTGCTTGACGTCTAAAGCTGAATGCGGGTCGGAGAGCCATGACTCAAGCAGCTCGCGGTTCGCATGCTTGTCATCCCTTGCAAAAATTTCGACTTCATTAAACTTGAAGGTTTGATCGGGTTCTGTCGAATGAGTCGCGATCTGGGAACTGGCGTCAGTTCTCCTGGCTGTTGCTGTATGTTCAGTCACTCGCGTCTCCCGAAAGCCACACCAAGAGGGCGCTCCTCTCCGACTTATCGTAGCACCCAAAGGGATTTCAGTTTACGGACTAGCAAAGTGCCAGGGTAGGGGTCGGTAACGCTGTCCTGGCCTAAAGTGTGAGCAAAATGTGGGCACCTCAAGTAAAGTAAGCCGAAGGAGGATGCCGAAATCGTTAGTGGGAAGGTAGTCAAAGCTAAGACGGGAAGGGCAACCTAACGTTTCTGTGTAGAGGTAGGGTGATTTTGGGACTTTGGATTGGTGTCAGGCTGAGAATTGAGTTTAGGGCTAGGGTTTGTTTTAATTTTAAGGGCTTAGGTTAGAGTTCGGGTTTGGATTGCGGCTTAGGTTTACCTTTGGTGTTAAGGTTGTGGTTAAGGTTTATGTTATGGTTAGGTTAGGGTTGCGGTTAAGGTTAGGGCAAGGGTTACGGTTGAGGTGAGGTTTCATTTAGGGTTAAGATTTGGGTCAGGGTAAGGGCTAGGGTTTGTGGTAGGTTTAGGGTTAGAATTAGTGTTAACTATAGGGCAAGCGATAGGTTTATAATTATGTTAGGAATTATGCTTACTTTTGAGGTTACGGTTAGGTTTACCGTATGGTTTGGGTATTTCTGCACCGCGTTTCCTGCCAGCCAGGTCTTTTGCGGGTGATTGCAGGCTTTCTTCAATCTCACAACAGACTTGTCATACATCAGGTTGCCTTTTCCGTTTCAGCCTCGGCTACTTTCCCCATAAAAGATTTTCAGCTTCCTTTCCGCTCAATGCCCACATCGCGCTTACACTTGGGACCAGGCCAGCGTAATCGAGCGACTTCGCGGTATGAGCAAACCGCAACGGTTGTTATTTAATACGGGTATTTTATCGGCTGTTTCATGTCTCATACCTTATAAACGTAATGGTAAAGCAGAGATAAAGACTTCTCTGTAGGAAGATAAGGAAATCCACTTCCAAAAACTAGCCAAAACCCCAACACGAATAGGCAGGTTGTACGTCTAAGTCGTATTGTAATATTTCCACAGATAATCAGAAAACGAGTACTATAGTAACAAATAATTGCAAAAAAATAACTGACAAGGTGATTAATGTCTCCCTGGAAGCACCGAGATAATTGCACTAGATTTTTTCTCCGATTTTGTTGTTTTGGTGGAAAGCCGTAACCAGGCAGTCTGTGATTTATAGACGGAAAAGCCCAGGCCCCATCCTAATTTAGCGCAAAAGCAAAGGGATACGCTAAAAATAAAGAAAAAAATATCCTAGAGAAAAATTTAAACACCAGGTTTCCAAACGCGCGTTGCGGGACGTCCATACCGCGAATCCGTTTTCTGCTCACTCCCGTAATCGACCCTTGCCCATAGTTTTTTGCCAGAGTTCGAATATTACCAAAAAAAAACAAGTGAGCCTACGACATCAGGAGGTGGCTTAAAACGTGAGGAAAGCAATTAGCTCTTTAGTCAAAGGCGTAGGAACTCACGGGAGACGGTGTGGTCGGTGGACGTGTCGTAACAGTTGTGTAATTGACGGTTGTTGTAGCTACCGGGGATGGTACTTATGTTCCCCAAAATGTCATATTTTGTAGGCGAGCCCATCCTCACCCGGAGTCCTCGCTGCAGTAGTTCGGTATGCTGTCACTCTGGACACGTCTGGTAGGTTAGAGTGTGCGTTATCTCCTCACGTATATTAATGATGCCTAGTTGGTTTTAGGGGTCGAGTTAGTGTCAGGCTGAAAATTGAGCTTAGGGTTAGGGTTTGTGTTAAGTTTAAGGGTTCCGGTTAGAGTTAGAGTTGGGGTTGTGGTTTAGGTTTGCGTTTAGGGTTAAGGTTAGGGTTAGGACTTTGGTTCAGGGTTAGGGCAAGGGTTTGTGGTTGGTTTAGGGTTGGCGTTAGGTTAAAAATTACGTTGAGGATTAGACTTACTTTTGAGGTTATGGTTAGGTTTACCGTTGGGTTTGGGGTATTCCTGCCCATCGTGTCCCGTCAGTCAGGTCTTTTGCGGGGAATCTAGGCTTCCTTCAGTCTTACAGCAGATTTGTCATACATCAGGTTGCCTTTTCTGTTTCAGCTTCGGCTACGTTTCCCACTACCGATTTCAACATCCTCCCTCGGCTTACCTTACTATCAGTGCCCACATTTCGCTTAAATTTGCTACCACGACAGCATAATCGATCCTTTCCCGATTTCATCGTCTTAGATTTCTGACCGCTGATTCGGACAGCACAGTCAGCTTGTCAACACAGTTCTTGGAGGAACTTAAAGGGGCAAGTCTCCTGCCAAACGGTATCTCTTGATGTCGCGTCCCTTTTTACTTTTATTTCACAGGATCTGGCAGTCGAGACTGTCGAATTACTCCCACAGAACAAATAAAATGAAACAGAGAATCACCTCGAACACGCCCAAATCCCGCAACTCCTGAAATTCTGTCTGAAGACATGCTTCACGTTCAACAGAACAATCTACTAGCGAGTCAAAGGCACGCCAATGGGTTCGCCCTTTTCGGGACTCATAGGTAAGGCGGTCCTACAAAGGAAATTCTGGACTCCGTATGTGAATGCCACTGTAGGCAGCGATCATGATCAGGTGAGGGGTATTCATAGAACACCTCGTCGCCATCCTTTCGGGGCATACAGTTCACGATGGAGCAGGAGGACGAGACCAACCAGCTAGCCTTTCTTAATGCCCGCGTCTGTCGCAAAGATTTTTATGGCCTAAAAACCAGTGTGTTCAGTAAGGCGACGCAAGTGCTGAGCTTTAACAGCCACCACCCACTCGGCCAGAGGACGCTATACTGGCGTGTCGAGACGCGTTGTAGCAAAGCGGACGACAGGGTTGCTGAATTACAGGACCTTCGACGGATATTCAAAACCAGTGGCTACTCCTGCAACTTCGTCAACCAGTGCCTGCGAAAACGAGAGGAAATACAACCGGCCCCAAATTTTGGCGAGTCCTCCCGTACGTGAAGAATGTCTCAGAAGCCGTTCGTGGCCTTCTCACATCCTTTGGAATTGGAGCCGACAGGACAGGACAGACTACCTTCAAAAAGCCAAAGGTTCACTGGAGGACTGACGGTTCTATGTCCCATGTGCAACGAACCCTGTAAAAGCGCTGACACGCGAAATGAATGCTACGTTGTTGGCCTTGGAGAACTCAGCTGCAATAACACCGACCGACAGACACATGGCGAGACCCCAAGATACGGCTTTGGCCGGATCCCATGGTCTCCTTAAGGTGCACAAAGACGGCGCTCCTCTCCGACCCATCGTGTCGCTCAAAGGTACTCCAACGTACGGACGGGCTAAGTGGCTGTTCCGGCGTCTCAACTTCCTGACCGCTGAGTCAGACACCACGACCTCTTCGTCAGCACAATTCCTGCCGAAACTCAAAGGGGTAGGCCTCCATCCAAATGAAACCATGGTATCTTTTGATGTTACATCCCCTTTTACTTCTATTCCCCAGGACCTGGCGATCGAGACAATCGAGCTGCTTCTACAAAGCAAATACGATGAAACGGAGAACCGTCTTGGACACGCCCAAATCCTTCAGCTCCTGAAGCTCTGTCTCAGGACGTACTTCACGTTCGAAGGGGCAGTCTACGAGCAAGTGAAGGGCACGCCAATGGGTTCGCCGGTTTCGGGATTCATCGCCGAGGCAGTCCTACAACGGTTGGAGTCACTGATTTTCCAACACCACAGACCTGAATTCTGGGCTCGGTATGTGAATGATACCTTCGTCGTCATCGAACGGGATCGGGTGATGGAATTCAAAGAACATCTCAACGCCATCTTCACGGACATTCAATTTACGATGGAGGAGGAAGAGAACAACCAGCTGGCCTTCCTGGATGTCCTCGTATGCCGCAAGGATTGTGGTGGACTAAAGACCAAAGTGTTCAGGAAAGTGACAAATACGATGCAAGTACTGAGCTTCAACAGCAACCATCCACTCAGCCAGAAAAGGCAGTTGCGTGAGGACGCTATACCGGCGTGTCGAGACGCATTGTGGCCAACCGGATGACATGGCTGATGCATTTCAATATTTTCGACGGGTGCTTAGGGTGAATGGTTACCCACGCAACGTCTTCAGCTGGTGCATGCCTAAACGTAACGAGAGACAAACTGTCGTCTCAATGTAGGCTGCAGTCCCCAATTCATTGCACCCACAATAGCGGCAGTCGACGCAAGGACGATGATGATGACGGCGACGAAAACAACGAAGGTGACGATGGCAAAGAGGGAATAGAAGGAGGAATAGCGAAAGAGAGGGAAGAGAAAAGGCGGTAAATTTTGGATAAATGAAACATGAATCATTGCTGCCTTCAAAAGCCAACAGAAACAAGTGAAAACAAAATCTAAAAAAGGCGAAAAAATAGACAAGTGACTATTTTTTAGCCCCAACGGTTACGTCCTGCCTCTGATGAATCTCCACTTTCCGATTGGGCAGTGTAATGCTAATGTTGAGCTCAATTGTGCGATCGTCTGACTTCGACCTTGTCTGTTGAACTACACGGGCGTATGGGTCGTGAAACGAAGTCTCCAGGGGTATATGATGGGTCCCATTCTCACTTTCGACCCTTCCGACTGCGGGTCTGTTAATCTGACTGGCGGAACTGTCGGAACTGTTGCGGCTGCCTCGGAAACCGTTCTGTAGGACCTTATTAATGACCTGTTTTACTACATTCGTTGCAATTTCCATAGTAGGACGGATGATAGAATTGACAGGTCTGCCATCCGCCGAAAGAATACTAATCCTTTTGTGGGAGAGAGATTCGGGCTCAGTAAGACTCGACTCAGACGTCACCGAGGACACGGCGGATGAGAGCGTGGAATTGCTTGGTAGGTTTAGCGAAGTCAGTACGTGTTGAACAATTTTACTGGCCAGGAAGTTGAGTGCCTCATCTGTCGCAACGGAAAGACGGACACTGCGTCTGTACAGTCTTTCCTCCTCATCTAGATCCCCACCAGAAGTGCGCATTTCAGGTGGAACACCATCGCGCAGATGGAAGGACTCCGAAGTACGTCCGTTCCTGACTGACTGTGACTGACTGTTTGTCACGGAGGAGGTCACCTCTGTGAGAGAGTCCGCTTCCTTGCTGGAACGGAAGAGCTTTCCTTCGGCCATCTCCATGGTCAGACGCCTGCCACTGAAACGACGCTTCCGTTCGTCATCGTCTGCCTCTGCCAGCTTCACCTCCAGTGGAACGCCTCCGTGGATGTTAAAGGAGAATGTACGTGGCCGTGCCCTGTCCTCCAGCTGGGACTCGCTGAAGGCACTTGAATCCGTGCTGCTCACTGTAATTCGAGCATGCATGTCTTTTGCGGAAGTTTGGATAACAATGGTTGGTCCGCCCTGAGGAGGAGCAGGAGGAGCTTTCCCGAGGCTTCGGGGTTTCCATAGAGTAAAGCACGGTAGAAGAGAGCATCTTCGCATCGGCGGGGCGGCATTTGAATCCGGTTCAGTGAAAGTCGGCGACTCGGAGAAGGAGGTAGCAGTGCGTGGTGTGGAGCGCGGAAACGAGACGGAGACCTCTGTGGAGTGTCGGGATACATCCTGGTGACCCAAATCCCATCCTGCCGTCTCGACAGCGACTTCGTTTAACTCCTGCGGACGACTGACTGTGCCCCTGGCGATATCATTCGCAACGGCCGCGCCCTTTTCCATCACTCGACTGACTTTAATGTTGTCCTCATTTGTTGTGTACTCGGTTCTCTGTCTAAAGCCGGCGGGGACTGAATCAAAGTTGGCGATGGTCTGATGCACGATCTGATAGTGCCCGCGGCTAACTTCAGTTTGTGAACGGGAAACCACTTCGTGCGTATCGGCTGAGGTCGGCTGGAGAGCGCCGGGGGCAGTGTTGTTTTGAATGGAGGGCGACCGACTGATATTGTTTTCGTGGGTGGAAAAGTGTTCCATCAAATCCAGAGGGTGTTTGTTGAGTAGGGCACCGAGACAGATGAGGACTACAGCGTCGCGGTAGGTCTTCTCAATGTTTTGACCAATCAAAATGTCATCCACCAGTTTCTCCGTTTTGTGCAAGTAGGCAGACATGGGAGTGTGGTCGAGCGGGGACTTGTCGGTGTCTTGGTGACGCCGGCGGAAGTACTCCAAGGCCTCGCTGGCCGAGGGCTGTTTTGGTGTGGGAAAGAGGAGACGAAGGAGTTCGTCAAACCAGGCTGCCTGCTGTGGCGAGCAGACGCTGTTGCGTTCCTCTCGGCTGAGCTCCATCCACGTCGGCGCGATGGCGGCCAGATGGCGTCGACAGCAGTGGGTGAGGCGTTGGGCCACCTGCAGTGGGTCCGCGGCTTCAGTCTGTGCAGCCAGCCAGTCCTGGAAACCCCGAGTGAAGACGATGTGGCACCCGCCGCTGCCGCCACCTGCCTCATCTGCGACGTCAAAGACGCTTGGCAGGTGTGGGGACTCCATGGGTGCTCCCCTGTTGTGCTGGTTGGTGCTCGCGGGGTCAACTCAACTGCCCCCTTCGAAGAGGGCTTCATGCGACCGAAACTGTAGAGAAAAAAAAAGAGTTTTCTAGTGGGGATCAGAGGGGGGTTGGAGTAAATGTAGTCTTTATGACGTAGGGTGAGCCGAATCGACCCAGGTGAGGTCTGTGAGGCAACTGAACTGCGATAGCAGACCTCTCCCTCGTTAATCCCCTCCCTTCCGCGCTCTTCTTCCTTTTCCCCGCCCTCCCTGTCCTACTCTCTCTCTCTCTCTCTCTCTCTCTCTCTCTCTCTCTCTCTCATTAACGTATCAACAACATCTAGTCTGTCCAACAGGGCTCAATTTTATTATGTGAACTCCGTGCAGCTGGATTCGGTGATGCACTTGCTTTGGAAGCGCCGCCTTGATCCAACTAGATGATAGGTGAAGCCAGCTAACCCGGCAAGGATGTAGTTGCGACCCCGAAAAATGAGCAAATGAACTCTCGGCCTGAGCAGATAGTTATCTTAACTTGAATAGAACAGCTAGTACCACTCGAAGTCCTAAGAGAGACAACTTTTCAGGCAGATCCTTATCAAGGCATAACCCGCAGCCCCAAAAGTATCCGGTGGAGCCACAGGGAACAGTTGGGTGCCAAGGGAGGCCGGGCGGTAACGTTCACCGCATATAACTGAATATTTTTAGTCCACCGGCATGATAACTCTTCCCTTCCACTCCCCAGCAAACCCATACCTCCTCGATTGGATACAATGAAGGTTAAATGAGAGGTTCCCAAACATAAAATATGTCTGTTGATTTCTTAGAGTCCACAGACAATTAATGCTTGTGCCATTACTAATAACGAACACTTGTACGTTCTTCTAGTCGTGAACTATTTGCCTCCAGCTACCGGCCTAATGAAGTAGACAGCCTAGACGACACATCTCTGTCGCCTGCAACCCTATCGTCCTGCGTGTAGCTCGGTGTCCACAGTAAATCCCACAACACCCTGAACTCATTCAGCTAACGATAGAGACAAAGGACGACTTGAGTAAGCTTTCCGGACCAGTTGCGACCACTCAGGTTGCCCTATCAGAAAGACCCGGCGCAAGATTCTAGGCATGTGGACAGAGATATTGCCAACAGCTGTTTCTAAGGTACTACGGCCATCATTGCCAGCCTCGAAAGATCCTTACTTTTAAGATGGAACCCGAGTTCAGCGAGGTAAATATACAACTTGATTGTAAAATAGCTAGTAATATGTGCAATCAAACTGTAGTAAAAAGTAAAAGTAAGAGTATGTTCTAGAAAGTACTAGTATCGCGACCATATGCATCACTAATATCGCAATGACTGAAATGTTGCATAAAACGCAGCTTTAGCTGCCATCTAAAGCGACCTTGCTCTGAACAACGCTCAACTACAGCGGCATGACTCCGTATACAGAAAATGCAAGCCTATAAAATGCATTAGCACCATCTTTTGACGTTCTCATCAAACTACAAAGGGAATGAGTGGTGGACTATCCCGTAGGCGAATTTCCATCTTTGCGTTAGACCTAAATCAGTCTGCGGATATTGTCTTTTCTCTAATAAGTGGATGAACGAAACGTACTTACCTGACGCATGACAAAGAGTTCTTTCGAAATATCGATCTCGCGCCATGTGATTAGGCGTGGCGTGACTGCCAGGCCGGCACGTTGTTCAATCAGGCACGGTCACGCGTAGTTCTGCGCCTATACGCAACCCGAAAACCAAAACGAGAGCCAATACAATCCAGACAAATGTGAACCTGACGCTGAGGTCAGGGAGTATACGTAGCCTTCCGACTCACAGCGTAATCCGAGTTCATATTCCTGCAGTTACGTTGACCACTTACGCATTGACGGTTATAACAATAATTCCTGTTTTAAATATCGGCCTTTTATACTAAAATAGAAACGAGAAAAGTCCTAACAGCCGAGCATTGCTTCTTAGACCCCCGCAAACGGACAGCTCGGATATTACGAAAATTAGTTGGACACCGCTGAACGAGAAGGTTTCCGACAAAGAAGTCAGAAAATCGACTTATAAGGACTGACAGAGCCAGCAAATTTATTCAGTACCTTGCTCTCAACTAAGTTCACAATTGGGATAGCATCGATCCATCAAGCATACCAGTTTATACCACTTAGCCTCATCGAATTTGAGCATAATGAATGAACTGTTAAAACAAACACACAACTTCCAAACTTGACCTACGGTACTGACACGATTACCTCATACATTTTCAAGCACACAGCCTCCGTCAACCACTCAGAGTATTCGCATTACTCCAAACGGATGAAATTTTCCAGACAGTTGGAGTACCCCAGCACACGCCCGTTCAGGAATTGCCTGAATTGGTGTGATATGCAAAATTTTTGTGGTGTTCATAAACGCCAAAAGGCACAAAATTCAGGTAAAATTAAAAAATACATGGCCATCGTGAGTTAAAACAAGCTGCAAGACATTCAGGAACGCTTCATCTTGTGCCTTTATTTGGTACAGCTGTGATAATGTCTGATCTTCCCGATTTCGATGGTGTCTGTCCACCCGTGACGGTCTGCGATAGCGAATCTTCCAGCTCGGTCAATTCTTTCCTCCAGGGACGGAGAGCGAATAGCAAAGACCACGACAGTTCGACCGTCGTTGACGACGATGCCAACCGTGCGCTCCACAGCAAGGTGAGGCGCGCGCGATGACTTGTGCCCGAGTTAGCTGATGGTGGTGGTAGACTTGCACAACATCCACCACACTCTCTCCTCTAACCTGCCACCTGGGCCCGGTGTCAAGGCAGAGTCAAGAAGACCGGAGGTGGTGGGGGGGCGCAGGTGGATGGCACGGTCGAGCCCACGCCTTGGAATACCACCACGCCCCCTGGTCCAGACAGTGGATAACCTGCATTTTAACCAATAACCTTATTAACAACAGCGACGGCAGCAGAGAAACGGGGATGACTGGGCAGCCATGCTCACGACCTGTATACCCAGCGGGAACGTAAGCGCATCTGCCGGCTGGGAACCAGGTGTCAGAGAATGGCCAGCGCGCACCAGGCCGAGAAGGCTGTAGCAGCTGCTCCAGTCCCCCTTTTCTCCGGCTGCGTTTTGTCAGTCGATGGCCGCGACAAGCTGTTGACACACAGCCACCCCCGCCGGCTAACACTCAGACACCTCCGGTCCAACTTCAGTGACTGTCGGCTGACCTCACAAACTTTCATCACCTCACGCGCGTCTAACGCCCTGGCTTGATACCCGTGAGGCATTGTATGTATGCGCCCCCTTATTACTCCCCTGATTTGTCCAATCACACGACCAACACTCTGCCAGTCACCCCTCCTTCTGACTCAGACGCACACCCGCGTAAACAACACACACACAGCGACTGGCGCTCTCTGTGAACGGACGCTTATCTCTGTTGCAAGCAAACAGCCAACTTACGGCAACCTGCCCTGTGTACAGAATAAAATAGTCCTCATAGCTCCCTGACTTCTGACAGTAGACGAAATGAACGTATTGTGCGTGGTTTGAGTTGATCTCACATCCTTGACCGCCACAAGGCCTTGGTTTGCTGATGTTGGCACAGCAGACGTTTTCAGACCTTCGGGCCCAGCGAAGACCCAAGAACCACCTTCATGACCTGGTGACCTGCGTCGAGCCAGGTTTTTAGATGGCTTCCTCTTTGACGCCTCCTCTCCGGCCTCGGATCGAGGGCAGAAACATTGAGTTCATGAGGTGGATAGCGAGAAACGTATCTAAACAACGTCAGTCGTCTTTCTTGAATGGCCTGCGATATACTCGTAATGTTGTCACAGCCAGTGCACACTACGGTTGTACTACACCCAAAGGATGATCCTCGGACAGCGGGGATCAACCATCTCCAGTTTTCGCTAATCTTCCACGCGCACAGTCCAGCATTCACAATCGTAGATGGGGGCTGACCGGAAGGATACGCGGGGTACGCCGATCTTCGAGGCGACGGAGCTGTCTTAGAGTGGCCTTGTGAAAGCCCTGCGAGCAGCATCGATTCGCGGGAAAATGTCCTTCATTTGGCAGTAGCCTCGCCTCCAGTCATTTAAACCTGCCAACTTCTTCCAGTTGTCTTATCCTGGTCAGGGATGCTTCTCTAAACCATTTTGGCGGTTATGGATAAACCGAGAGAAGTAGTGGCTTCACTCGCCCATGACACCAAAATTTCTAGATCACCAAAGCTTGATACTAACATGGCGATATCGTCAGCATAGACGAGATCAGTTAGCTGGCGTTGTCTAACAGACTGGACGATAGGACACAATCTTGTCGAACACCATATCAAATATTGAGTGGTTGAGCAGTTTCATCATGGCGGGGGTTCTTGTCGGTTCCCCTGTCCGCCACAGCGACCCATGAGGGATAGAATCGAACGCTGTGGCGAAGCCAACAGAGCAGACAGTCATTGGTTAACGGTAGCTGTAGTAGGATTTCAGAATGTGCCTCAGTGTGAATTCCTGGTCGGCACATCCATGCCCAACTCGACCTCGTTCTAGAGTCACGCACAGCCTGGGATCGCGGAGATTGAGAGTAACGAATGCTCATGCAGCTACGTCACTGAGGCTTATGCCGCGGTCATCCCTATCTGATTTTTTTCCGCCATTTTCTGGAATTGCAAGGTTCTTCTGCTGCTCTAGTCATTGCGGTTCATCAAATCCTTGTGCACACTCGATGGCGTCGAAAGCGCATGCCTAGAGCTGAGCAATAAATGTGGTCCTAGAAGCTCTTGGAACCGGTGACATGAAAATGGTGACATCTTCTTAGGAAAATGCATTCATGACCAAAGTCAATAAATTAAGACGACACTGGGAATAGCAAAGAGAGCATACAAACTCCCAAATCCTGAATCGATCGCGGCCGCGGTGGCCATCGAGGGAGCGGACAGCTGCGGGGTCTGAGATCTCATGCAAGTGTTCTCGCCATCTAGGCCACACAGCGAAGGGAACGCTGTAGTCTG